ATAATTTGCATGTTTAAAAACATTATTCACCCCAAATTTTATTGATATTTAATCTCCATATCCACTTACTCACAAACCACACCCATCAACTCTTGTTGACATCATATGTTTCTCTCCTACAAAAGAGCTGCAATATGGACTTTACAAATAGATAATGTAAAAGATGAATGAAGATTTAATTCACAGTTGCACATATAGTAGAACAAACAAGACAACAATTTTGTTGTCTGGTTGTTTGAAGAATATGTTTCCTCCATGAGAGAGATATCTTGGTATTTAAGGATTATTTTAAACTAATACTTATGCACCCACTGTATGCTACAGAAGCTAAAGTAAAAATGAGCTTTTGTTCTAATGATGTAAGAAGAGAAGTCTTTGGGGGATGCTCAGACTAGCACTCTGTAGGTGTTCAACTAAATCTATAGCTGGATCTATAGATCAAGAATCAGGAAGCCAGAGGGATAATAATAACAATAATGACAACAACTCACATTTACTGAGGTCTTCCCATGATGAGATAATGTGTAGTGTGCTTTGCATGGATTATTTAATGGAATACTCTTTTTTTTCCTTTTTAATTAAATTTATTGGTTAATAAAATTATATAGATTTTATGTGCAATTATATGATATAACATCTGTATATTGCATTGTGTGTGCACCATCCAAAGTTAAATCTTCTTCCATTACTATATATTTGATCCCTTTTACCCTTACTATCTCCCAAACACTCTTCCCTCTGGTAATCACCATACTGTTGTCTGTGCCTATGAGTTTTTGTTTGTTTTTCTTTTTTGTTTATTTGTTGCTTTCAGTTTTATGTCTCACATATGAATGAAATCATATGAAATATTTTTCTGCCTAATTTACTTCCTTTGGCATGATATTCTCAAGATCCATCCATGTTGTTGCAAATGGTACTATTTTATCATTTCTTATGGCTTGGCAGTTTTCCACTGTACCACGTTATCCAGTCCTCTACTGAAGGACACCTTGATTGTTTCCATGTCTTGGGCTCTATGAATAATGCTGCAGTGAAACAGGAGTACATATATCTTTGAGAATAAGTGTTTTCAAATTTGGGAGGTAGATGCCCAAAAGAGGGTTTGTTGTTGTTTTTTTAACCTCACCCAATGATGTGTTTATTGATTTTTAGAGAGAGATGAAGGGAGAGCGGGGGGGGGGGGGGGGGGGGGGGAGGGGGAGAAAGAGAACATTATTGTGAGGGAGAAACATCAATCGGTTGTGTCCCCTATACACTCCCACCAGGGATCGAATCCTCAATATTTTTGGTGTACAGGACAATGCTCCAACCAACTGAAGTTTCTTTATTTGTAATTTTTTTAGGAACCTCCATAACACTGTTTTCCATAGTGGCTATTCCAGTTTATAGTAAATAGGGTTCCTTTTTCTCCACAATCTCTCTAACACTTGTTATTACTTGTCTTGTTAATAGCCATTGTAACAGGTGGTATCTCACTGTAGTTTTGATTTGTATTTCCCTAATACCTGGTGAAGTTGAGCATCTTTTTATATATCTGTGGGCCATTTATATGTTTTCATGGATGAAGTGTCTGTTAGGTCCTCTGTCCTTTTTTTGGTTGCTGTTAATATTCACCAATATTTTTTTCCCATTGATGATTTTTAAAGACAGTGGTAAGGAGAGAGAGAGAGAGAGAGAGAGAGAGAGAGAGAGAGAGAGAGAGAGAGAGAGAGAGAGAGAGAGAGAGAGAGAGAAACACATTGATGTGAAAGAGACACATCAATTGGTTGCCTGGCCCCAGGGGGCAGGGATCAAACCTGCAGCCCAGGTACGTGCTCTTGACTGGGAGTCAAACCTAAGACCCTGCGCCAAACCAGCCAGGGCTCTCTGTCCATTTTTTAATTGTTTGGTGTTGAGTTTTATAAGTTCTGTATATAATTTGGATATTAACCTCTTGTCATAGCTACTGTTTGCAAGTTTCTTCTTCCATTCTGTTGGTTGTCTTAATTTTGTTGGCAATTTCTTTTGCTGTGCAGAAGTTTTTTAGCTCAATAAATTCCTTCCAGTTATTTTTGCCTTTACTTCCCTTACATTTGGGGTCAAATTAATAAGATCCTCTCTAAGACCAAGGTCCATAAGTTTAGTCCCTATGTTTTCTTCTATGTAATTTATTGTTCCAGGCCTTATAATTAGGGATTTAATCCATTTTAAGTTAATTTTTGTATATGGGGACAAACAATAGTCTATTTTTATTCTTTTACATGTAACTTTTAATGGAAAACTCTTCACATTCCTATGAGTCATATTTCCAGTTCACAGAGGAAAGATGAGGCTCCCAGAAATAAAGATATTTGCCCGAAGTTACAAGGCTAGTTTGCCTGATTCCACAGCTCTCACCCACTAGCAAGTTGCCTAGCCACCTATCTTAGGAATATAAGCAAACCCAGAGGGCTGAAGTTCAGCCAGTAAGTTGCAGAGCTGTGTGTATTTGAACATACATATTAGATAGAAGCCATACTACAGAACAATTTATAGTAAGATAATTATCCTTTAGAAAAAAAAAAAATGAGTAGAACTCTGGGCTAGAAACTAATTAGTAGATTACAACAGAAATGAAGGTGAACATTCTATCCAGGCCTGAAAAGGTGAAAAGGAGAGTTGCAGAGAAGGTTAATTATCAGAATCCATATCACATTGGCAAGAGGAAGATTTCATCTTGAATGACTAGTACTAATAACCATACAGACATGGCCTTCATTAGGAAAACAAATTTCCTGATCTAAATGAAATCTCCCTAAAACCACTCATTCTCTCCCCCAGACTGCACTGCACACACTCTTCTCTTTTGCTCTGATGTCTGGTGATAAAAGCAATTTTATGACAACGAATTCAACTCCTCAAATATATGTTTCTAAGTGGGATTATCAGATTATTAAGTGAAATTAACCTTCGTTAATATGTTGACAGTCTTTTTAACAATGTGTTAAGTGATTTTTGTTATTGTAAATCAGCTTTTCTTGGCCTCAGTGACTTTGAAAAAGAAAAAAGAACTTTTGCAAAAAAAAAAAAAAAAAAAAAAAGCACGTAATTCCCATGTGCTGATATGTGAGGAGGCTAGTTCTACACTGTTCCAAGTCACTAGAAGACCTCGGCCGATCCTTGCTATCCCATGGTTATATGACACGACTTTGCTGTAAACTGCAACTATTTTAAGGGAACCTGATAATGTCCCTTCAGATAGTAGAAGATTGGACAGGAAGTAAAATTAAGAGAAGAACCTAGCTAATGGGAGAACAAAAGAGCCCTTGGACCTGACCAGACACTGGGCTGAGTGACCTCAGCAACCAGGGCCTAAGCAGCACCTGCCAGCATGTTTAATCACCAGACTCAGGACGGTCCATGGTTAGACTAAAAAAATGAGATTTGATGTCCACCTTCATGAGAACAAGTTCATAATTGTTATCTTATATAATAAAAGCCTAATATGCTACGTGTCCAGTCATTCAACCAATCAAAGCATAATATCCTAATATTATGCTAAGGACACTCAACCGTTCACTATGATGTGCACTGACCACCAGGGGGTTTGCTGCTGAGGTCTGGCTGATCAGGACCCTCCCACGGTCTCTCCTCAGCCTTGATCATGCACTGGTAGGTCCCTAGGCCTGGCCTGTGTCCTCTCACAATCTGGACCCCTCAGGGTATGTCAGGGAGCCAGTTTCAGTCCCATGTCTCAGGCCAAGTCGAGGGACCCCACAGATGCACAAATTCTTGCACTGGGACTCTAGTCTATATATATATATAAAAGCCTAAGCAACTGAACAACCAGTCGACCAGTCACTATGACACTCACTGACCACCAGGGATAGATGCACAATGCAGGAGCTGCCTCACAGCAGAGGCGCTGCTCCTCTGACTGACAGACGCCAGACTCAGGGCTCACACTGGCTGCCACAGCCCAGAGACCACAACAGAGTAGCAGCAAGCCTTCCAAGTGGAGGCAGCAGCAGGCACAGTGGGACCGGGATGAGCAGAAGCGGCAGATGACATTGGACTGCTGGTTTTGGCCCCAACCCTGTAGGCTATACTGAGGAATCCCACTAGTGCACAAATCTGTGCATCAGGCCTCTAGTTTATAATAGGTGTTTTTCAGGCCCTGCCAGCTTTTCCCCAGAAAACTCACCCAGATCCCTCTTTCTGCTCTGGGGAGTTGGAAGCTCAAAGCTCTATCACAAATGACTACTTTTTGCACATCTCCATGTGTCCTGTGTGCCTTTGCTGCCAACATGGTGCTCTTACACCTTTTGTGAAGCTCAGTGTGTGGCCTCAGCTAGTCTCCTGGCATCTATCTGCTCTGGCCATTCCCACCCAACAAGGATGCTCCTACAAAGAGGCTATCCCATAGCAAATGTCCCCACTGTTCGACTCCTGAACGATCCAGCACAGACAACAAACATGGAGAAGTATTTTTTTTCTCACCAGCATGGCATTTTGTGTCAAGACACAAAGCAGCGCTTTGATTCTGTCCTTTGGGTTTTCAGCAGGAATTTAATGGTAGAAATTTCTATTTCTGTGGCTCTTGAAACATGCTGCCATGTTTCTAACATTCAGGTACTTGTCTGGAGAAAACCTAAGTGTCACCATACTTCTGGGCACCCCACAGCCCTCCCCTTTAGCCTTGAGTGTTGTTCCCAATACCTCTTCTCTATTCAGCTGTGGAGAGCTCCTTCACTATCAGAAAATCCTTAAGTGGACTAACAGGTAGCCTTTGTTTCTATAGGGCCAACGGGGTTTTACTGGTAGGTCAGGGGTCTCTCATGAGCTCTGTGAACCCATTTATGCTTCCAAAGAAACTCCTGTTTTGAGAAAAAACAAACCTTCCTGGTGGACCCCACCCATCGACTCCAGATCTGTTAACAACGACTGCCAATTGTGACATTTCACAACTTACACATCCTCATGATACTAGGTAATTATATATGAAAGACTCATACCCATCTTCTATTTTGCTCTTTCAGATAAAGGAATATTCATTATCCAAAGTGAGAGCCTCAAGAAATGCATTCAAGCAGGCAAATCGGTACTGACCCTGGAGAACTGCAAACCACCAAACAAGGACATGATGTGGAAATGGGTTTCCAACCACGGCCTCTTTAACATCGGAGGCAGCGGTTGCCTGGGCCTGAATTTGTCTGATCCAGAGCAGCCATTGAGTATCTATGAGTGTGATTCTATCCACGTTTCCTTGAGGTGGCACTGTAGCAGGAAGGTGATCACTGGCCCGCTGCAGTACATGGTGCAGGTGAAGCACAACACGCTGGTGGCCTCCCGGAAAAACCTTCATAAGTGGATTGCCTACATGTCAGGCGGTGAAGGCATTTGTGAATATCTGCACAGAGGTAAAAATATATATTTGTATGTAAATATAAACCAAAGTACTCGTGAAATAATATATTTAGAAAGTTTACCATAAGTCAAGATTGGTAAAATCCTATATACTAAAGAGGTGATATGCAAATTGACAATCACTCCAACACACAAGATGGCCAGCAGGGGAGGGCAGTTGTGGGTGATCAGACCAGCAGGAGAGGGTGGTTGGGAGAGACAAGGCCTGCAAGGGAGGGATCGGGCCTAAATGGGCAGCCGGACATTCCTTTAGGGGTCCCAGTTTGGAGAGGGTGCAGGCTGGGCTGAGGGACACTCCCACCCCACCCCACCCCCGCAGGCCTCTAGTATATTATATGAAAGAGGTACACAGCATTCAGGCCTTCAAGGGACTTCTGCCAAATACTTTGTAGTTGCTTACTCACTTAATGTAAAAAATGACTGGAGTCTTGGGTTGTGCTAAATTCTCCTAAAGAAGCAGAATTTCTCACAAGTTTAAGTTATCAGAGGAGAAAACACTTACCTTTGGGCATCATTGAGACGGGGAGAAAGCATGGTAGGACAAGAGGAAAAGAGAAAATTAAGGTAGAAAAAAGGTTTTTGAAGTTGATGACTTGACAGGATGAGTATAAGAACCTCTCCTGCCACCATTTCTCCTGTTGCAGACACTCAGTCCCAGGGATGGAGTGTGTCTGCAGGCCACTCAGTGCCTCCCATGCTTGCTGGCATCCATGTGATGTCACATTGAGACATTTAAAGACAGACTGTTGTTAGGGATTATTTAGTGTGTGCTAGGGAATGGAAAATAATGGTGGGTGTTTTTTTTGTTTTGTTTTTTTTGTTTGTTTGTTTTTTTGGTGGCAGGGGAAGAGGAGGGTCATTTTTTCACAGTTCTGTAATATTTGGCATTTTTAAAATAAATGAATGAATGAATGAATGAATGAATGCAACATATTAAATTTGGACACCCTAAACTCAGGTTTTGTTTGGTAGTGCTCTTCATTCTCTCATCCATCCATTCATCCTCTGTCACACATTTATTAAACACTGACTTTTTCTCAGGCCCAGGGCCAGTCATATTCTTTAAAAGCCAACAAGACAGATGTGGTCCGTGCCCTCATGGTGCTCAGTAGAATTATGCCTAAATAAGAGCAAATCTTTCTTAGAACTCTGATTTACACCAGTCTTAGGAAGCAGAGCAAGGAACTCTTAAAATCCATGTCAGGACTTTCTCATGTATCTCCAAGAAATGAGTAACGAGACGTGGCTAAAAACAACTTATTTTCAGGACTCACTGCAGTGGAGCAAGTGCTACAAGCCAGCTCTCCCAACAATCTACAGATTAAGGAAGAACATGGCATTTGGCTTTATGTTAACATGTTAGCCATATACCCACACTCACAGTGCATGCAGGGAAGAGCGAGTAGGAGGCAGGGACAGAAGCAAGAGGATGTGTCCTGAAATTATAATACAATAGTCTCTAAAGAGCCTTAACCTCTAGGGTTGATGCAGGGTTAGTTCAGTCCAGCCCCTGCCAATGTGGGAAAGGGGTGGGGGTCTCCACAGCCAGCCTTTTCCTCCAGGACCTAGTGACTCAAGGGTGGCCCTGATCCCCCTTCACCACAGAAAGCCCCAGGTGAGTCATGAAAAACTGTCCTTTCCTGCTTAAGGCCAAGGGTGACAGATTATTGAAAGGCTCTGGGAAAGCAGCCAGCAGGTACCTTGGCACTGCCATGTCTCCAAGATTACTGTAGAGGCCTCCCAGCTAGTTATCCCTCTTTGCCCACTCCCTGCATGGGTTCTGTTTGTCATATGGCACCCAGATTTTCTTTAAAAATGGAAATCTGATCATGTAACTTTCTCATCCAAAACCCAACAGTGACCTCCCACTACACTCAGAGTAAAGGGCAAAGTTTATAATGTGGCAGAGCTGGCCTCTATGAGTGGACAATCTCCACTTCTCTGCCCCCACCTTCCATCCCGCCTGCGTGGCCCTCTGCATTCATCCCACACAAGTCTTGTTGTGAGTTCTTCATGTATGCTCTTCCTTCTACCAGATAACCCTTTTCCAAATACTTGTACACTTACTTCCCCCAGTTCCTATTCAGAGATGCCTTCACTAGCCATCTGATCCAAAATAGTGGCCCCCCTCCTCTCCCTCTCTCTTTCTCTCTCTCTATCTTTCTGTGTCTCTGTCTCTGTCTCTGTCTCTCTCTCTCTCTCTCTCTCTCTCTCTCTCTCTCTCTCTCTCTTTCTGTGTCTCTCTCTCTCTCTCTCTCTCTCTCTCTCTCTCTCTCTCTCTCTCTCTCTCTCACACACACACACACACACACACACGCACACACACAGAGTTATTCTGTCTTCCTAGCCTACCTTGTTTTTCATCATGGTACTTACCACTACCTGAAATTACATTTACTTGTGTATTTGTTTTCTTTTTGTCTCTTCCTTATGAACAGAAACTCCTTATGAAAGGGAACTTTTGCCAATCTGTTCATTGTTATATCATCAGTGCTCAGCACATTAAATTCTCAATAAATATTTGTTGGATGAATAAATTAATGAAGGCCTGTGAAGCTTTGAGTTTCAGATGCTGGTCACTGATATAGGTGATATTTTAAAGTAAAATCTCCATTAAATTTTCCTTCTCATCCTTTCACAAATGTGCTGCTGCCATAGTAGTGCACCATAGTGAATACCCAAGGACATGAATAGGTACACACACCATTGTGAACCCACACTCAGCCTTGCACATTTACACTCACTGGACAGTGGAGTCCTGAGGGTTCTCTGTGGTCTAGCAAGAGTTTTGCCCACTGTAGGTTTTCAGTTATGAAAAGAATGCATTCACTCTATGATAGTGTCCAAAGATGAAGCTGGCATAATACTTATTTGACTTTGTCCTTTTCTTTCCTAGATTTGTATACACTCAAAGGGAACGCCCATGGGACGCCATGCATGTTTCCCTTCCAGTATAACCACCAGTGGCATCACGAGTGCACCAGGGAAGGGCGGGAAGACAACCTGCTGTGGTGTGCCACGACCAGCCGATACGAAAGAGACGAAAAGTGGGGATTTTGCCCAGATCCCAGTAAGAGTGAATCTCCTCTTCCCCCTCTGTCATGAATGAATCAAGGGTGATTGGAGAGTTACCTGTATCTAAAGGAAAGCACAGGGATTGATATACTGAACTCTGAATAAGCACTCTGATTCCATTTATCCAGACTTGATTCTGTGTTTGTTTCTTGCTTTGAAAGGACAATCCTGATGTCTATTCCTTTTTCTTTATATTCAAAAGATGTTAATTAGCCATTCTTCATTAAGCTTAGTGTATAAGGATGCTTTAACCAGAATCAAATGGTCATACCCTGTGATCTCATTAACCCCAGCTTCTGGCAAAATACTTAAAAGCAAACCTGAGCATGTATAAAGCTCAGTTATCCTTTCAGTCCACTCTCTTTCATAAGGTGTCTTAATTTCTCCAAGTCCAGACTGCTTGTCTTGCTATCATCAAGTCCAGACATCAGCTGGGCCCTTGACGAACTTTCTAAAAATGGCAGTTATTCTCATTATTTTTTCACTATGTGTTCGCATCTTGATTCCCTTTTCTTATTACTCGATTTCTAGGTATAACCTCAAAACCTTTTCCTTTCATAACCTGACTTTCAAGGTCCAGTGACATTTGCAATATTCTAACTTTTTTTTATCAGTTAGTACTTTACTAATTTATTTAACTTACATAAAATGTTTACAATGGTTCCTAAGTATTGGGTAATACATATATATATATATATATATATATATATATATATATGTCGTCTACTTTCTATATTCAATTTCCTCCACCTTTGTTCCTGCAAGTCAGAGTATCTACACTAATAAAAAAGCAAGATGCAAATCAACCGTACCTTTGCAACACCCACCAGCCAATCAGGAGTGAATGTGCAAATTAACCCAACAAAGATGGTGTTCTGCACCACTCCAGTTGCTCCAGGCCTCTGGGCAGTGTGGGAAGGCAGAAAGGCGGCCAGGGGAAGGAAGGCCCATTCTTGCATGAATCTTCATGCATCAGGCCTCTAGTAGTTTTTATAATCTCCTCATCTTCTATGTCTACCTTCCCCTTCCCACATGTAATAAAATACAGCAAATAAATTGAAACAGAAGCAAACTGAAGAGATTAACTCCAAATAATCTGATAGATAAGTAGAATTGTTTTGTGACCCAAGAGCCAGTATGGCTTAGGGAATAAGAAAAAGTTTAGGCATTAAAATCAGACAGTCCAATATTGGAGTCCTTCTTCCCAATGATGAGATGTTAAGTTTCAGTTTCCTGCCACAAAATGGAGAAAATAGCAGTACTATTAGGATTATTGAGAGGAAACAATTAGATGATGCATCTAAGACACTTATGATAGGACATGGCACATGTAAGCCATCATTATTATCATCATTATTGTCATCATCAAACCTAACTTATTCTTCCAGCATGCACTTCTGAACCAATAACCCTTCCTCTTTATTGTCTGTCAATAGCACTAAAGTAGGTAAGCATAATGGTAAATACAAAGAGTATTAGGACTTAAGACCCTCCCTTCAAAGAACTTGGAATCTAGATGTAAGACAGATTTGCTCTGTGCTAGAAAATGCAGACTATAGTTGATATGATAGTCTAGAACCACCTGGGGGAGAGTTAAAAATGCATATCCTAGCCCCCTCCCAGAGACACAGTGGGTCCAGTGTGTGGTACCCAAGTATCTGCATTTTTTACAAGTGCCCAAGGTGATCCTGCTGCAGATAATTCTTCATCAGTCAAAAATAATATGGAGGTAATTCTATGCAACATGCATCAATATACTAGGATGGTCTTAAGACATTAAACAATGAATATGATATGAGCTATTGACCAGTATGAGTGGAGACCTTAAAGTGGAAGTTAAGAATCCTAGTTTCCTGCTGCTGATATTAACCCCTTAGCTGCTGGATTATGAGGAAATGAGGAGGAGAGGAAAGTACAAAGGAGGCTAAGGTACCAAAGCACACTCAAGCAACTCAGGACAGCAGCTTAACAACCAGCATGAAAATATTTCATACTGAAAATACTGTCAGATCATCAGTCTTTTCTAACTGAATCTGAATGCTTGCATGCAGGTATATGTGCATGTAATCCCTACATTCCTTGGTTTAGTGATGCTCTAGGCTTCTCACTCACAAGACTATCTATTTGTTCAGCTTCCTACAGCTCAAAGCTTCCTCTGCTTTACAGCCTGCCAGATCCCAGCTCTCCTGACCTTTACCACAAGCATGTTTATTTGTATAATGCTGAATTATAGTACCAGAGTTCTTCCTTTCTTGTTATTTTTGGTTCCTATGCAGAGTTTAGGTTTTGACATAGTATTTCTGCCCCACATAACTCAAAGTGATGTGTTAGAGACTGAAATTTGAGTGACCTGATAGCTCTTTCAGTAGGGTCAACAAATGGGTAAGGCAGAGAAGAGTGAGTGGAATAAAGTAAAGATTTGTATTTAATACTTCTGTAGTTCCTCTTTCTTACATGGATTTTCTTTTTAGTATCTCAATGTAAAATGATGCTGCCTTTTTTTTTTAAAGTTGATAGTAAGAGAGCAAAATTTAAGTGTAGCATTAATAAACACAAACACACTAGCAGTGAAGGGTGTGATCAAACATCTGTCACTATAGGTCTTCAGGAACAAGGATGGCATATAGGAGCAGGCAATAGTAGGTTTGCAGTTGTGAGTACACAAAACACAGCTTATTCTTACATTATTATTTATTAATTATTGTACTATTTTCCATACAAACCTACTTTTGCATACCCCTGTATAGGAAACTCTCTGGGTTTCTTTCAAAGCAATTTGTGTTATACTATTCCCTCTTGGTTGCATATCATACACAGCTGGAAACTCATGCAGTTAGTCTGATACATTTTTAGGATATCAACCTCTGGAATTATTTGAGTGCCCTTGAACTTGGCTATGTATGAAGTCTGGTGTGGGGAGAATAGCTTTCCCTCATGAGGCCTGCCAGGTAAAGCTTTTGTAATTGTTTATGATCAGGCTTAAAAATGTACTTGTAGGTTTTTAACCAGGAGTTGGACTCTCATTAGTAAGGACAGACTTGGAGGATAAAGTGGAAAGTGGGGTGTTAATTTGGATCACAACTTTCTGATATGCATAGATAAGTTCATTGCCAATACAGATTTGGAGGAGAAAACCAAGCATTCATGTTGGGACATGTTATATGTGAATCAAGCCTGTAAAAATGTGGACTAGGCAGTTAGACATAAAGGTCTTTATACATTTGAAAGTTATAGGGAAGGGGTTTATGAGAATGGGTAAAATATTCTAGAGCATGTATAAAATAAAAAGGAAGGAGACTTGGGCCAAGTCTTAAAACCTAAACATTTAGTTTAAGTAGAACCAGTAAAGGGGATGAAGAAGAGGTGGCCAAAGAGGTAGAAAAGTCACCAGGCATGTGAAGTCAAGAACATAGAGTATTGTGGCAAGGAGAGGGAGGGTGCTCACATGCTGCTGAAGGGCCCGATTTGAAAGGCCTGAAAGGAAGTGTTTGCTGGATTTGGCAATGTGGAAGTCACTGATGGCCTTGACAAGATATCTTCTAGTTGCCAGATTGAGGTTAAAGGGCAAATGTGGAAATGGAAAAGGAGGGAACACTGTCCAATTCATTCTTTGAGGCCACTATTACCCTGATGCCAAAACCAGACAAAGATATTACAAGAAAAGAAAGCTACAGACCAACATTTCTTACGAATATCAATGCAAAAATCTTCAACCAAGTATAGCAAACAGAACTCAGCAATATATAAAAAGATTTGTTGCACACAAGAGTAATTTATTAATTAATAAAGGAATTTATTAATTAATAAATTTATTAATTTATTAATTAGTAATTTATTAATTACAAGAGGAATTTATAAATTACCAAGAGGAATTTATCCCAAGAATGCAAGATTGTCAGAAACCAATTAAAGTCATACCCATATCAATAAGATAAAGGTCAGAAACCAATTAAAGTAATACCCATATCAATAAGATAAAGGTCAAAAGCCACATGATCATCTACTGATACAGAAAACATTTGACAAAATTTCCACACTTTTATGAACACACACACACACATACACACATCCTAGGAACAGAATGGAATGTCCTCAAGTAATAAGGAGAATCTATTTTTAAAAAACAAACCCACAAACAGCATAATTAATGATAAAAGACTAAATGCTTTCTCCCTAAGATCAGGAACAAGATAATACACCAGGGACAATGGCAAAGCTGTGTTCTTAAGGAAGAAAAATAAAACATATTAATAGACAAGGAAAAGTGGCTACATCTCAGTCATAATCTATGATAAAATCAGTGCTGACAGAAATATACCTCAGTTCATTACAAGAGAGGAGTATTTTGAAAGGAGGAAAATCACTTATTTATAGCATCACGCAAAAGATTTTGGTAATTTTCCCCCAAATAGTAGGAGATTCAAATATATATATATATATATATATATATATATATATATGATCCACAACTGTGATATACACACACACACACACACACAACACAGTTGTTTCCCTCAATGGATCATATAAAGATAACCAAAGGTGCAAAGAAATATAACATAATCCTAGCCCTTATATTTGAATGTTTCAAGTTAAATATGGGTTAGACACCATCCTTCCATCTTGCATTTTCAGAGCCTTGGGAAGGGAGATTATATATGAAGAAGCAAAGACTAAAAATAAATAGATGCAAGGACCCTAGGCCAAGAGGGGAGTCTAGGCCAAGTGGCTCCCCAGGGAGTGGTCTCTGAGGCAGAGATGAACCTTCAGGAGGTTTGTTGGGGGGTTGTTCTATGGATCACCGCCTATGGAAAGGAAGAGAAGAGAGCAAGATTGGAATGCAGGCTGGACTGACCCTCTGTGGTGTCCTCAAGGTGGATGTGCCCTGTGTTGGGAAGAGAGAGGACTCACACCCTACACTGCTCAATCAGGGTTAGCCGGCTGCCTTTGGGAAGGGAGAGTGACATCAGGCAAAGAAACTGTTCAGCCAAGGCAGTCCTTGAAGAAGGCATAATGTCATTGAGAGGTCTCTCCTGGCATCTGGGGAAGTAAGGCCTTCCGTCCTGAAGGGAGAGCCGGGTAGCACATCACAACACCCTGGTCCAGGGTAGCATTTCCATTCCACTTGTTACAGTACAACCTCCCGTAAGATTTGTGGAGTGACTGGGCCGCAGCCCACGTAGAGAAACAGAGAAAGGACCTTGTTTGCCTGTACAAAAGAAGAAATTCTTATTTTTTAGTTAAAACCAAATGAACTTATTAGGAGATTACAGACACCTGTTGAAAACATTTGATTGAAACTTTCCTTTTGATTAACCTTAAGAATTTGCACAGATAATCCAAAACCAAGAGAAATTGAAGAAAACCAGCTCTATCATTTACGCACATACGGGATCACTAGCAAGCCTCTAACTTAGCTGGTTAAGCCTTCTACTTAAAGGTATAGTAGAATTCAATCAGGTTACTACAAAAGACTGTGTCCACATAGCTCCATCTCTGTCTTATTGAGAGGACAAAACTAGGATACGATCAATTGAAGTATCCTCTGCCAGGCGTCCTCAAACTTTTTAAAGTGGGGGCCAGATCACGGTCCCTCAGAGAGCTGGAGGGCCGGACTATATGAACTACTAATTCCTACTGTAACACCTCGGCTGCGCTCACTGCCCAAAAAACCTGGCGGGCCGGATCAGACTCCTCTGCGGGCCGCATGTGGCCCGCGGGCCGTAGTTTGAAGACGCCTGCTAGACTCTAGACCTTTTCTTATCATGATATGGCTTCGGTCCAGAGACTTATAATTAAGACTTATTGTAGAATCTTTACCCTGGGCAGGAGTGGTCTCCATCCTATTCCCAGGACTTCTGACATCCTCTCCCTACAACTCGCCTTCTCACATCTTACCCACCTTCTAGTACAGAAGGCTACTCAGACCTGCCCTCCTGGGAAGTGCTTTGAGTTTTTCTTTTTTTTTTTTTTTAAATATATTTTATTGATTTTGTACAGAGAGGAAGGGAGAGAGATAGAGAGCCAGAAACATCGATGAGAGAGAGTCATCGATCAGCTGCCTCTTGCACACCCCCTACTGGGGATATGCCCGCAACCAAGGTACATGCCCTTGACCAGAATCGAACCCGGGACCCTTCAGTCCCCAAGCCGACGCTCTATCCATTGAGCCAAACCGGTCCCGGCTGAGTTTTTCTTTTAGGCTGGTGCTTGCTTCATGCACCATCTGTCTGAAAATCAGGAATGTGTTTAATGCGAGTTCCTGACCTCCTGATTCAGAAAACAAGGAATCTGCAAGTTTTTTTTACAAGCTGGCTAAATGATTGTTATGCACGCTTGCCTTGTAAACATCCTCCTGCTCCTCCCTCAGAGCCTCAGCTGTCACAGGGTGAACTCCTGTCTGATAATGCAGAGTGTGCTGTCCAGTTGGGGATGGCCTAATATTTTAACAGAAAACAATCTCTAAGGACTCGGACATTTCAGCCACCAGGCAGGGCAATACGGTGCCTGAAAATGTCCTTCCTTTCTCTTACTTTTCTACAGTTGTTTTACTTGGTGGTAGCCTTGTTTTCGACCCTCTTACAATCTTGCATCTTTCTATAAATACATGTATCAGTCAAGAAACTCTAGCTGAGAAACCTATTTGGCTCAGTGGATAGAGCGTCGGCCTATGGACTGAAAGGTCCCAGGTTCGATTCCAGTCAAGGGCATGTACATTGGTTGTGGGCACATTCCCGGTGGGGGTCGATGATTCTCTCTTATCGAGAGAATGTTTCTAGCTCTCTATCCCTCTCACTTCCTCTCTGTAAAAAAATCAACAACAAAAAAAATTTTTTTTTAAAGAAACTCTTTAGACAACCTTGGATGTATTAGTGCTTTGATAACTTATGGTTAACCAACACAGTTCTGGGGAAAGCATGTGGCAAACAGACATGGAACAAACTTTCCACATTAGCAAGGATATCTGACTATTACAGTGGGAAAAAGAAAGCAAACAAAAAAAAAGAACTCATTGTCAGATAAGTTTGAAATATACTGAAATAAAGTTAAGCTCTTTCTTCTCAGATCCTTTATGAAGCAAATGTACATTATGAATTCCTTACAGAAGGCTACCTACACAGGCGTGAGGTCCTGGATCTCCCTGGAGAGCTCTTGAAGTTGTACTATTCTGCGGATCACACTTACAGAAAGGCTGTTCTAGGTTTTAGCAGATTGTTGTCCATCACTTACACTCATGCTGTAGCATGGGTCATGTTTTCTACATTGTGAAATTCTTTGGCTGAGTTTGATTTCAGATAATTATTTTTTAAAATTATTTCAGCTAATTATTGTAGCTGCTTAGTTCACCTTGGGTTTTGGTTTAAACCTTTAGCAAAAGCATTCAAATTAGGTCTTCATTTTCAATTAATTTCAGATTTTAGACCCACATTTTATCTTTATTAAATTTACTTTTAAACATACTATGCAATTGTTGGTCAATGTTTTATAAGTGCTTTTCTTCCTTTTGGCTGAAAGAACTTTATAAAATTAAATATCGGTTTTCCTGTTCTCGGTGTTTATGTGAAAACTGTGTTCTCTATAGACTCATATGTCAACAGTATCCCTTTCATTTCCTCTCACATTTTGGTTTTGGCGGGGGAAGCCTTTTGAAATCACACTTGCATCTACCTCAAATAAACCTTTACAGTTATACAGCTTTCAGTATAAAGCTCTAAATGACTACTTGTTAAAGGACTCAGATGTTATTTTCACAAATTCTTCACTTCTATTTCCTTCTCTTAAAAATGCCTTCTATTCTTTCCCCAAAAGGATCGGAGCTTCTTTATTGATAATTTCTAGAAGTTCCTTTAAATCTTGAAAGAGTATAACCGTAAAGTACCAATGGGATACAAATGCAGATTTTATCCTAGAGACCTAATAAGGAATCAATAAAATACAGAAGTTTTAGAGGCTGCAGTTGGGGATGATTCCATTGCAAATTCCTCTTACAAGCATATAGCCCTATAGAGAAAAAAAAATTACAGCTAATAGTTTGATGGCTTTTGTTTCCAGCATCGGCAGAGATGGGTTGCGATGCTGTCTGGGAGAAGGATCTCGATTCACACATTTGCTACCAATTCAACCTGCTTTCTTCTCTCTCCTGGAGCGAGGCACATTCGTCATGCCAGATGCAAGGTGGCGCTTTACTAAGTATTGCAGATGAGGCTGAAGAAAGTTTCATAAGGAGTAAGTAGGACATTGATATTGATACAATTTAAATGATTGTTAACAATTAGGTCCACATATGCAAAGATATATTTTGGGGGGGGGGGGGCGGAGTGTTCCATGGGAGATATTTTTCATTTATTAATATGGTCCAAATTCACACCCAGGCAATTCCATTTGGCACCCAGTGTTCCTTATTTTCTCGCCCTTGTAGAAGAGAAGCTGAGGCCCCAGCAAGGGACTCAAAGCTTGCAGTAAAGCAAGTGAATCTGGGAGACTTGGACATTAAGTACAAATCCCTGCTCTGCTAGAGATCTTAGCTGTTTAGTTCCCATTAATAAATAATCAAGTAATTTATTAAGTAAAATCTTTCCTGTTACTTACTGTGTGCAGTATGTAGTAGGCCTGGCGGATTCTAAAGAATTTAAAATTTGGTTGGAAAAGCAGAAGCACACATGGTAACTAATAGTATAGGAGAATAATATGTCAAACGAGTTGTGATAATGAGCTGGGTGTTGTGTTTTACTTATCACCTAAACTCTCTCTCTCATCTCCTTTAAAGATTAAATGAGTTTGTGTATATGTACAAACAGCTTCAAAAAAAATTGAAAACATCTGAAAGTGTCACAAAATTAATCATTTTCATTAAAAGTGCCTGACACTTTTTTCAAATTTTATTGCATATGTAATATATGTTTATTCTAGAATAAATTTTAAATTTCATGTATATATTGTAGAAAGAAAAACAAGTCTCCCATAATTCCACAATCCAGATAGAACCATGTATTTTAGCTAACACATAAATGCATGCATATATACATGTATTTCTGAAAAACTGTATTGAATAAAAATAGGAAGCATCTCTATTAACTCTAAGGTTAGGAGCAGGGATCAGAGAGCCACCTGCGTGGGTATGAATCCTCTATCACTTACTAGCAAGGCTACCTAAGCAAGTGCCTCCACTTCCTTCTATCAAATGGAATCCTATATAATAAAAGGCTAATATGCAAATTGACTGAACGATGAACTGACTGATCACTATCGTGTGCACTGACCACCAGGGGGCAGATGCTCATTGCAAGAGCTGCCCCCTGGTGGTCAGTGCACTCCTACAAAAGGAGTGCCACTCATCCAGAAGCCAGACTCACAACTGGCAGGTGCAGCAGTGGTGGCAGGAGCCTCTCCCTTCTCCACGGCAGCACTAAGGATGTCCGACTGCCAGCTTAGGCCCGCTTCAGCAGGCCAAAGCCATCATTTGACATCCCCTAAGGGCTCCTAGACTGCAAGAGGGCACAGGCCAGGCTGAGGGATCCCCTCGCCCCGAGTGCATGGATTTCATGCACCAGGCCTCTAGTTAATAATAATACTTACCTCTTGGTGATGTGCATTACATGTTATAATGCATGTGAAATCTTAGAGAAGTGCCTGGTACACACAACAAACATTTGTGTGTTAACCATTTAAGTACCATGCACACAGTTTGATATTATACTTATTTTACTTATCTTCATATAATGAACATCTGTCCACCTCTATAAACATAGATATACATAGGTAGGAATAGATAGATACAATTATTTATTTAATTTAATTTATTTATTGCTATTATAAACCACACCTTCACATATCTTTGTGTATAGATCTCTAATTATTTTTCTACTGGAGGCCCAGTTAATGAAATTCATGCACTGGGGAGGGGGTGTCCCTCAGCCTGAACCCTCTCCAATCTGAGACCCTTCAGGGGATGTCTGACTGGGCTCGGGCCTAAACCAGCAATTGAACATCTCTCTTACAATCTGGGACTGCTGCTTTCCAACCGCTCACCTGCCTGCCAGTCTGATTACCCCTAACCACTCCCCTGTCAGCCTGATCGACACCTGCTCCCCTGCCAGCTCGGTCACCCCAACTGCCCTTCCCTGCTTGCCCAGTCACCCACAACTGCCCTCCCCTGCTGGCCCAGTTGCCCCCAACTGCCCTCCCCTGCAGGCCCAGTCAATGCCAACTGCACTCTCCTGCAGGCCTGGTCACCCCCAACTGCCCTCCCTTCCTGGCCTGGTCACCCCTAACTGCCATCCCTTGATGGCCTGGTGCCCCCCTGATGCCCCCAACTTCCCTCCCCTGCTGGCCATCTTGTGGCAGCTATCTTTGACCACATGGGGGTGGTCATCTTGTATGAAAGGGTGAGGGTCAATTTGCATATCACCTCTTTATTATATAGGATGTTTGTAGAAGTAGATTCACTGGGTAGAAGCGGAAGTATGTTTTAAGGTTTGGAGAAGTCATTAATATCTTCCAGAAAGATTGTAACAAATGCATGAAAAATGCATGCCTGCTCCTTTCCCCACAGACATGCAAAAGTGAAAAGTCATCATTGAAATTGATTTGAGTGAATCACATTTTAGAAAAACACCATTTCCAAAGTCATTGTTAGATTGTAATGATTTTCATAGAAAATTTTGCATACTACTTGTGAATTACAATTGTTACCTATTTTCACTGTCAGTATTTCTAATAAGAGGGTTTGGACTTGTTCATCTATCTTAAATAACAATTTAAAAATATGTCAGGGATTTTTATTTAAATACCACAATTCTATAATTAGACGGGGGATTGTTTAGGAAAACAGAAGTCTGTTCATAAACGGAGAAGCCTGTTCTGATCAAGGTGTTTTTTAATGATGAGACCAGGCTACTATCACTGATGAACACTAACTATGGTATATGGGATTACCTAAGCTTTCACAAGTGCCAAGAGCTACCCAAAGTAATTTAGGTTTGAGTTTGTTACTATAGAATTATGAATCAATTTAATCTTAAAGTAAAATAGACTGTTTTGATACTTATAAACAAGATTATAAATTACACAGTGATTTTTTATGTGTATTGTTAAAACAATTGCACAGAGGGTATCAAAATTAACTCTAGTAAGAATAACTAATATTTAAATATTTTAAGTAGATTATTTGAAAATATGACTTGGCACTTACACCATATGAAATGTGAAAATTTCTCCATCTTGTCCATCCATCTTCCATTCTGCCCTCTGCCATCAATATATGACTTAATCAAACAATGGCATTGAAAGGACTGAACTAATCAGCATTAGAAAGAGATTCCACGTTAATGCCTCAGGAATTTGGAAGGGCAGGGCCCATGAATGTTTTGCTATTTCTTTTTAGTGATTTCTGGGCTCTCAAAATTATAAAGCACCTTTTTCTCCTTCCTAATTGTGTTAGATTCTTCCAGTTGAAATATTATATTGAAATATTAAATATAATATTATATTGAAATGGCCAACCACAGAGGATGCTGCAGCCTTGTTCAGTGAATACACTGACTCCTATAACCTGCGTGACTGTGCAATGGATCATCCAGACTGAGACTCTTTTGAGAGTAAAAGCAAGTGTGATTCATCATTACTTGGGAGCTAACAACATAACATAGACCTTGAGCTTTCAAGGCAATGGGACACGTAGCCACCCTATTTACAACTCTTATCTGTCAGGGTCTCAGTCTTGGGCAGGGCACCTACATTTGATGCAGATTAAATTGGGTTCCAAAGCAGATGGACTATGAGTGAACAAGGCTCTCCTTTATAGATGAAAAGATTAAAAGGAAAAAGAAAGTGAAATATGGATGATGGATAGAAACTAGACTTTTGATGCAATAACAGATATCAAATTGTAATGCTGTACACCTAAAATTTATATACTACATTAACCATGTTACATAATAAATAAATAAACAAACAAACAAACAAATAAATAAATAAATAAAATTAAGTGGCAATATTTGAAAGTGTCACAAAATTAGCCTCTTTCACTAAATGTTTTTCACACTGTCTTCCCAAACCCCATATTTTATAGTACAAGTAGTACATGTTTATTCTAGAATAATTTTTTTAATTCAAGTGCACAAAAAGAAGAAAAAACAAGAAATATTTCCATTAATTCTTCAATTTTAATTTGAAGATCAAAATATGTGTCGATGCACATGTTTATACATAGCATTTATAACCAAAATGGCATCAACTTAAAACCTGAGGGGCTGTGGCACAGTGGGTAGGAAGGAATAGGGGCCACAGAGCCAGCCTGACTGAAACACTTTTCACCCCAAGTTGAAGAATCATTTGCTTCATGCATGGCCCTTACGTTCCAACCTGCTATGGATCTCTCTGGGTCCTTTGGTCACCTGGATCTAGACTCCTCAGCTGGAGTCCTGACATATAGGAATTAAGTCTCCAAGCTGAAGTCTCCAGTCACATGTGGGGAGCAAAGAAAGTCTTTCTGGGAGTGGCCCTGGACACTCGCCATCACCCTCTGCAACCCTAAGTGCACACAAATGAAATGGTCTCAGAGTCGTAACCATGCACTTGGTTGGATTGACAACCACTTAGAGGCACCATCTCTAATGCTTACATACATCTCAGTGAGCCTCCAGGAGACTGATTGTTCCTCAAGACAAGGTGAGGCTGGCAGCGGCTTCTCCTTCCTCCTCTTCTTCTTCTTCTTCTTCTTCTTCTTCTTCTTCTTCTTCTTCTTCTTCTTCTTCTTCTTCTTCTTCTTCTTCTTCTTCTTCTTCATGTTTTTATTGACTTCAGAGAGGAAGGGAGAGACATTAATGATGAGAGAAAGTCATTGATTGGTTGCCTCTGCATGCCCCCTACTGGAGATCTAGTCTACAACTCAGGCATGTGCCCTGCTGACTGGGAATCACTGTGACCTCCTGGTTCAGGGGTCAATGCTCACTCACTGAGCCACGCCAGCTGGACAAGGCTGGCTTCTTTACTCTGAAGCACCAGAGTGGGGTTAGTAGCACTTAAACCCTTCCTGTCATTGACTGGTGTTAATTTATGACTCTGTGTTCCAGGAATAGAAAAACAAGAAAGAAACGTAACATTGATCTTTTTAAAACTAATTTCTCTTCATTTCAGAGCACTTAAGGGGTGAAACGCTGGCGGTGTGGATGGGTCTAAACCAGCTGGATGAAAATGCTGGCTGGCAGTGGTCCGACAGAACCCCACTCAGCCATCTGAACTGGAATCCAGGTACCCGCGGCATTTTATTTACCTTCAACAGGTGGCATCATCCCACAGCCTGACTCAGGTGGCATCATCAGGTGGCAGCCTGAAACAGAAGTATTTCCCACGTATATCTGGTATATGTGCTGTTAAAACAATTGCATACAGAGTATTCAAAATTAACTCTAAGATAAAAAGAACTATTTAAATATGTTAAGTAGATTATTTGAAAGTATCACTTAGCACTTACCCCCATATGAAATGTAAAAACGTTTTTGAAAGTGGCTTACAAAAAAACGTTAAACCTGACTTAATTTCTGTAAGGGTTTTCCAGACAAGAAAATGGAGGCCAAAAAGGGAAGCTGTGTATTTAGTGAGGGTTGCAAGAAGATCTGGATCAGAGCCAAAATTCTAGTCAGCTGTTTTAAAAATAGCCACAAAGAGCAAAACATTTCTCTGCTTTAACACAATAAAATCCACTATTGCCAACTTTGGAAAATCATTTCATTGTCATGTCTGGACTTCAACTGCAAAATCACAAATATAAGGTCTTAAAGGATTTAACGTATATGTCAGAGAGAAGGAATGTATCTTGGATGCGAAGGCTACATTTCAATATAGATTATACTGACTGCTTTTGCTTCTAACATGAACTACACAAACACTGTATTTTCAGAAATAAGTTTTGAGCCATTTGTCGAATATCGCTGTGGGACATTTAATCCACTTATGACAAATGCCTGGAGAGTTCGGGACTGTGAGGCCACCTTACCTTACGTCTGTGAAAAATACTTAAACCACTCTGATCAGGAAGTAGTGGGTAAGTGTTTTCATTCTGAGTTCCTCTTATGAGTTGCTTACTTGTCCTTTCAATATAGTCAAAGTCCTCCATTTGTGCTAATAATTCATAATTTAAACTTAGCTAAGGTTAGTTTTGTATTGGTAGGATTAAAAATGTGCAACAAGATAATATTTGTTATTCTAAAGCAAGCACGTCAAACTCGAAGCACGTGGGCCATATGTGGCCCAAAACAAATATTTCTGTGGCCCAGCCAATACAACGAAATGTAAGAAACGTTTTAAGAAAAATTTCATAACTTAATTTTTACAATATCCTGTTGTACATAATTATTAATAACGAACTACAACGTTTGCTCATGACTGATTACTATAAGCGTGCTGCATTCATTTCCCTTATGCACCTTACACGCAGGCACACCATTTCTCTCCACTAATACTAGCAGCAAATATTTTAGAAGCCGATTGCTGTGTAATTAGTCTTGGACTGACTTGTTTGGTGTGCACAACAGGAAATATTTTGCTTTCAGAGACCAAGAAAAATAGGTTTATTTGTGTTACGCTTATTAATTTGTGCAGTTATTCAGTGTCTGGTAAGTTAATTATCATATGTTTAAGAAAAAATATTAATTTTTATTAAAATGTTCTATTGTTTTATGTTAATGATTACTCATTTTCTTCAGCCCTTTGTATTCAACATGTCTCAATTGAAATAAACCTGTTTCTATGAAAATTTAAGTTGTTGTTTTTGTGGCCCACATAAACTTAAGCCTGTGTTATGTGTTAGCCTTTGAGTTTGACATGGTTGTTCTCTAAAGGCACCATGAATTTAATACATGCATTTAGGTTTATACTAAAAACTAAAGCAGAGTAACCTAAGCATTTGAAAACCTAAGCATTTTCTTTATTATTTTTTTTAAAATATATATTTTATTGATTTTTTTTACAGAGAGGAAGGGAGAGAGATAGAGAGCTAGAAACGTCGATGAGAGAGAAACATCGACCAGCTGCCTCTTGCACACCCTCTACTGGGGATGTGCCCGCAACCAACGTACATGCCCCTGACCGGAATCGAACCCGGGACCTTTCAGTCCGCAGACCGACACTCTATCACTGAGCCAAACCAGCTTCAGCTTCTTCCTCTCTTTTTAAAAAATTTGTGTTCTTAATCATTCTGTGTTTAAAAAGCTTCCCTTTCTCTTCTAATTTTGAGTTTTATTGATAGTTGTCCTAGAAATTAAATGTAAATTAGAAAACAGTTTTAGAAAATTCTTTGCTTCATTGATTTTCTATCACACGCTATAGCTCTAAATAATAAGACATCCTCCTTCTGAAATAACATGCAAAACTTTAGGTGTAACTTGAATACTACCTAATTACAATCTAGTACCTGGACATCCAATTATTTCTGTCTGTTGAAGGTCTGTTACCTCTTTTTAGTTTCTGTGGGAATTAATGTCTTAACTTAAAAAGCAGAGATTAAAACCTAGCCATTGTTAAAAGAATCATTACCAGAATAATCAGAAACAACTCTAGGTTTAAAATAATAAGCTGAATTATCACTTTAAAATATTATTCCTTACAACCAGGCCTTAACTTTCTAAATTTCTTTACACAGCTAAGACTCAGGCTATTGTAGAGTTCGGGGGCAGGATAGAAGAAGCATTGTGGCTTTGTTTTGTGTTGAGATATTTTTCATTGTTTCAATAACGTGCTGAAATTGCTCATACCCTTCTTCCCTTCCTATCATTTTCCTTTTTCCATTTCTTCCTTCTTTATTTGTTCATTCTTATGGCTTCTTGCACTCTCTCCTACTCCCGTTTTTTTCTTGTTTTATCTACTTCCTTGATCTACTAACTGAGGCCAGAGACCAGAAATGAGGGCAGTTATGCTAAATTTGTTTGGATTAATAACTGTTGCTTCAAGTTCAACAAGTCCTTTTGATGATCCGTTCCAGCGTTTTCAAACTGCGTTCCAGGATCCTGCATTCCAGGTTCTTTGCTTGAGTCTACCTTCACTTCAATCGGAGAAGCTGCGGTTTTTGTTTTGTTTGTTTTAGTTTTTCAAAAATATTTACTGTTGAAAGTATTACATATGTCCCCTTTGTTTCCCATTGACCCCTGCTAGCCCGCCCTACAATCCTGTCCGTGGCCTCCACCACACTGTTGTGTGTCCATGGGTTATGTATATATGAGAAGAGTTCTTTGGAGAAGCTCCTTTTTTATCTTTTTATCTTACCTTTCAAGTGAAACTTAAGGTCCCATATTTAAAAGAGGGTCTCTGACATTATTTTTTAGGTTGAAAACCACTTGGTAGATGATACTAAAAGTTTCTACAATCTTCAACTGTGGTGCTGATTGCTGTCAGAGCCCTGAAAATAATTTTTTTCTTTTTTTCTTTTTTTCCAATCCTCACCCAAGGATATTTTTCATTGATTTTTTTTTTTTTTAGAGAGAGTGGAAGAGAGAGGGAAAGACAGAGAGAAACATCGATTAGTTGCCTCCGGCACATGTCCCACTAGAGCCGGCTGGGGAGGAGCCTGCAAATGAGGTATGTGTCCTTGACCTGAATCAAACCAGGACCCTTCCATCCACAGGGTCCTAGTTCAATTCAGGTGGATGCTCTATCCGCTGAGCCAATTCAGCTAGGGCCCTAAAAGCAATTTAAAAAGAAGGTTGTTTCCCATACTGCAGTGGAATCGCAACTAATTAAATTAGTGCTTAAGGGAGGCACTCAGTTGTGGTTAATAAAATAAAGATGCTGTCACCAGGTTGGGGACAAGCTCCTGGAAGAAAGGAGTCCAAACTTGCCATGCACACCACTTCCTTTCCCTCTAATCTCAAAGCATCATGACACCATTTTCCTCTATTTCTAACCCAGCATTCCTAAGAATCCAGAGGGATGCCATAGGCACTCACCCTACCCTTGAGATAAAAGCTACTTATCATCTCTGCTCTAGAGGAATTGGCCAGAACTTCTGACTCTTTTCAGCCCAGGATAAATATCTATCCCCACTGACATCCTATATAATAAAAACCTAATATGCTAAGTGTCTGGTCATCTAGTCGGCCTTTCAACCAATCAAAGCATAATATGCTAATGATATGCTAAGGTCATTCAACAAGCTTGCTATGACATGCACTGACACCAGAGGGCAGACAGTTGGCCAGACACTATGACATACACTGATGACCAGGGAAAGATGCTTCAACCAGTAGGTGAGCTTGCTGCTGGGGTTCAGCCAATTAGGACTGAGTGAGATGGGCTGGACACACCCTGGACCCTTCCACGGTCCCTCCCTGGCTGGCTAACCTCCCGCCTACCTCCTCAACCCCGATCATGCACCAGTGGGGTCCCTTGGCCTGGCCTGTGCTCTCTGGGACCCCCTGGGGAATGTCAGAGAGCCAATTTTGGCCTGATCCTGTAAGCCAGTACTGTACATAAAATATAATTTAAATTATGGTTCCTAACAGCCCTTTTTCAGTGTGAAAAGATTTTTTTTTTAAATGGAGATCTATAACTGGTAAATTTTATACCTAGCGCTGACTCTCAGCTTTGGCTACCTGACCTTTGCCAAGTCCCCTTACCTCTTTGTGCTTTAGAAAGCACATCTGGAAAATGAAGCACTGGGATCTATTAGGTCTGGCTCATAGATTGGGTCCTTCTCAACTCTGAAGACCTGGAATCCTATAATTCATGTTATTGTTTCATTTTTCTGTTTCTCAAAATTTTAATCATATTCTGATGTCATCACTTATATTTATTCTTATATTAAAAACAATATTTATATCAAGAGTAATGAGTAATGTTTTTTTAAATGTGGGAAATGAAATTGTTTTTGTTTATGTTGTTGTTTTAAAAAGAAAAAGATGCTTGGAAATACTATGCTACCCACTGTGAGCCCGGCTGGAATTCCCACAATCAGAATTGCTATAAACTTCAGAAAGAAGGAAAGACCTGGAATGAGGCTTTGCATTCTTGCCAGTCTGATAACAGTACATTGATAGACATAGCTTCGTTAGCAGAGGTGGAGCTTCTTGTAACCCTCCTTGGAGATGGTGAGTGTCAAATGTCTTTGATTTAAGAGGTGTGAGATACAATATAGTAACTTTTAAATTAAGGTATTTAAAAGTGCTTATTTGTGGCATATATATCTGAAGTTTCTAAATAATACCCAGAAGTGAAAAATCATTGGATTTTTACAAAATACATGCTCAGAAACTTTGTAATATCTCACATCATATATATATATATATATATATATATATATATATATATATACTTTTTTTTTTTTTAAGGGGCAAATGTTGTTTCCTGAAACTTCTAATAAAAAACCCTAAACCTATAATTTAGCTCTATGGCCACTGGATAGCAATAATATGCTGTGGTCATATAATCTAAGCACTAAAAGGAATTGGTTAGAAAAATAATTGTATTAAAATAACTTCAGCCAGTGAAAATAGATAATTTATTTCGTGTGGTGCTTTTCAAGCTTCATGACATGTTTGGGAATTCCAGGTTTCCAGACCTTCACCCAGCTTTAGTTCATCAAAAGGAATCTGCCTCTATCTATGTCATGGATTTAATATAGAGTTCTGCCAGGAAATATTAAAACCCTTGACTTAGAGTAAATTTTTTAAATGAAAATAAAAATCTCCAGACTCTATTCTGAGGAATTTTTCAAGTTAGATTTTAATTTAGGGTGAAAACAAAGAAATTTCTCCTCATCTTTCCCACTGGTGTTTAAAGAATCCTGTGGCTGCCTCCATATCAATAGCAGCACTTGGGCATATCCCTCAGCCACATGGGTCTTTCACCCAACCTGGGCTGTCTAATTTTATTTCTGTCTCGGGCAACCCCATTGCTCCTATTTCCATGCTTTTAAGAGTTTCTGCTCCTTTTTTCCTGGTAAAATAAACAAACAAACAAACAAACAAACAAATAAATAAATAAGAAAGAAAAGAAAAGAAAAAGAAAAAGAAATGCATCATAAAGCTAGACTACCATTAAAAGTTATTTTGTGTGTGCCTTTTCCTAATCCAATAGACCCTCCTGTTTTTCCTTTTTGTAGGCAGAAACAAAAACAAACTTTCCAGATCTACTTTCCTTCCAGTAGCAGGATCTAGAGTCCCAGCAGTCTGACTGGTTTTTTAGCATTGTCCTGGCGTTGGCTGTACCTCCCACTCTGCCTCACGGCTAACGCCAGTATCAAGCAGATCAGCTAGCACAGTGTAGGGGAAAAGGTTTAAGCTGGTATTTTTACCAAGACTTAAACAGGTTTCATCACATGAAGAAATCCCTTGCAAAGTGGTATATTTTGGTAATAATCCTAGTGCATTATCTCCTTTGCATATAATAGGATTCCTTTAAGTAGTTTATATTTGTTTCTTACAGAAAATGCATCCGAAACATGGATTGGTTTAAGCAGCAATAAAACTCCTGTTTCCTTTGAATGGTCTAATGGCTCTTCAGTCACCTTTACTAATTGGCATACACATGAGCCCCAAATTTTTCCAAATAGAAGCCAGTTATGTGTCTCAGCTGAGGAATCTGTAAGTTTATTTGTTTGTTCAATGCTCCCTTTGCTGGACTTGTATGGAAGGCCACCTCCACCAGAACGCACAGTCCCTGCTCCTCACGGAGCTTCCCTGCTGGCCAGTAACCATGTCCCACAGGGAAAACAGGGTGGTGACAGTTGTTATGATGGCTCTGAGGAAACGGGGGACATGATGATTGGGGCAGCTACTTCAGATGGAATTGCCAGGGAAGGCACTCTGAAGACATGACATGTAAGCTGGGACTTAGAGAACAACAACAAAAACCCTCTTGAAGAGCAGGGAGAATAACATTCCAGTCAGGGTGGTTCATGCAAAAGCCCGACGGCAAGCCAAGGCTTGCCATATTTGATAATCCGAAAGGCCAGTGTGGCGAAAAGATGTGAAGGGTGAGGGGGTGGCAGGAGCTGGGGCAAGAGGAATACAAAAATGTGTGGGTTGTAGATCAAGGATAGGAAGCACTCTCAAGCTTCAAAGAAATGGAGGGCAAAATCTAATTTACATTTTTTAAAAATATATTTTATTGATTTTTTACAGAGAGGAAGAGAGGGGATAGAGAGTTAGAAACATAGAGAGAGAATCATCAATCAGCTGCCCCTTGCACACCCCCTACTGGGGATGTGCCTGCAACCAAGGCTGGTCAAAGTGGAAGCAGAGAAAGCAGTTTGGAGGCTCCTCAGTGGTTGAATTGGTGTAGTGCATGTGGAGACAGCAGACAGATCCAAGGATCCCGAAGGCAGGAATGGTTGTTAAATGAGATTCGGGGTTGCAGAAGAGGTCAGCTTACAGCCTGAGCCACCATCATCTTGGCGGAGGTGGTGCTGTTATCTAGGGTGACGAAGACTAGAGAGGACTGGGGTGTTGAGAGATGACTCTGGAGAGTCATGGTTCTTAAGCTCCATTATCTTCTTAACATAAAAGGCTTTCAACAGTGTGTGCCACCTCTGAAGATGGTGCATCAGTGGGAAAACCTTGCTCTTTTCCTTGGATGAATGTAATGGTCCCAGTGACCTTAACATCTTGAGCTTCTCTTTTATCTGAAACATCTGATTATGCAGAATTAGTTTAATCCCAAGCCATTTGAAGGGCTTCTTATGTGTTTAGAATAGAGTTACTCTCTTGATCAGCTAGCTGCTGAACTTACTGGCTGAGTTTAGATTATTGGGATTTGGTGGATGTCCTTCCTTATTCTTTCAGATCACCCTGTATGAGTTCCTCCAGAATGCACTTCATCCATGTTCCTTAAATAGCTCGGCAAAGGAATTGTGCTGATCAGACATGGGCAGTTTCTCAGCATGGGTTTGATGGTTTTACCCTATAAGGCTGCCCCGATATGTGCCGCTGTAATTACAGCGGCGAGACAGTGTCTCCGAGCCACAGGGCTCTCTCGGTGTTTGTCCTGGCTCCACTGAAAGCCGCCGCAATTTATTCTACAACATTCGGTGCTCTGCTGGTTCGTTAGTTTTGATATAACAGAGATGACCTTCATTTCCCACTGACATTCTCCCGTTTTATTTGACAAACATGGGCGTTTCACTTAGCATGTTCACAGAACGGGAGCAACATTTGGACAGAGAAATTATTTTTCAGAGAATAAAGGCAGGGGTTAATATCACTGGGTGTGTCAGGATAAGGCACTGTAAGTGTGTTTTTTTAGGTCCCTTTTTTTTTTTTGTCAGCTCAGTAGCTCCTTAAACAGTAGATGTATAAAAAGTAACATTTATTCCCTTGAAGTAGAATGCATTATGAATATAATTATCATGGTGAACAAGTTACCTAAGCATGGTGGAGCCCAAATTTGAATATGAGAACCTAGGAAACCATTCATCCATCCATCCATCCATCCATCCATCCATCCATCCATCCATCCAGTAGTCATTAAGCAACCACAGTGTGCCTTCTGCTCTCCTGTAACTGAAGACGCCACGGGGGAAGCTCAGAATGCTCTTACAGGTGACGGTGTCAGCCTCCTACCGAGGATGTTTCTTAGTGTCATGGAAGAGCTCCATATTCCCCTAGAGCTCAGCCTGTCCGAGATACATGACAGAGAGGGGAAGTCCTCTGTCATGACAGCAGGAGGTCCTGACATATTCCTCCATCCTGAAACACTTATTGTTAGTCATATTTTTATTCAGAATATGGGTATTGCCTAATGGGGGGCATTCATTCATCTTGTAATCCTCCCCCGCTCAGGAAGGACACTGGAAAGTTAAACCTTGTGAAGAGGTGCTTTCTTACATTTGTGAGAAAGCAGGCCATGTGCTCTCCGACGCTGAATCAGGCTGTCCAGAGGTAAGTGCCGTTAACCTTGTGATTTAGGTACTGGGCCTTCATAATAGAAAAACTTATTCCCCGTCTACTTATAATGAACCTCTCTCGCTCTCTCTCTCCTGCCTCGCTCCCTCTTCCCTCTCTTTCCCTTCCTTACCTCCCTTCCAGGTTACCTTCCTTCCCTCCTCTTTTTCGTTGAGTGTGGGCTACTTTTAACAAACCAGACAATTATCAGCTAGAGTCACATGGTGGATTTATAGCTCTGCGAGGGTTTGCCTGCTATCCTCTTCCACCTAAGACTACTTTTCTTTTGAGGTAAAATAAATGTAAACGATACTGTTATACCATCTGTACACGCAATGCCCTGTCTCCTGGGGTTTCATAGGCTTCCTGTGGGATGTCAGAATGAAAGCGAATGCCTTCCTTTGAGCCAGAAAGTGAACTTCTGCCTCCAAATGCTTGCTTTCCTGTTCCCTTTTCTTAAACTGAAGTATCTGACAGGATACAATAAGGGAGAGAGGTGGACGCTCACAACATATTTATTAGTTGGGAATGGGATAAAAAAATACTTTCATATTCTAAGTAAAAAGGCATTTTCAGTACTTTAATCAACAACACTTAATATTTAGGTTTAAATTTACAAGGTAGAAAATTATGTTTTCTTGCAGTAAAGTTACCACAAAGAAATATACCTCAGTGTCCTCAATATACCTACTCATGTCTTCTCTTACACACACACACACACACACACACAAATTTGGATTTAAATATTGGAGATTTTTAGATTGCATAAATATCAAAATTTTCCCAAACTGGGTTTATATACAATCCTGCTTGAATTATTTTCTTTCCTAATCCAGTAATTTATGTACCAATTGAACAATAATACATTTATCCAAAAACTGCATTTGATTTATTAATCAGTGCATAAGCATGACTCTTCATACTCTAACTGAACATACACATGCCATAGCTGACATGTTGCTGAACATTTTATCTAATGATTATAATTCCAGAATTAGTGATAACTGATCACGGATTTAATCTCTATAAAAAGAAATATTAAAATTTCTTATCTCACTGTGTCTTTCAAGGCAACTCAACACGCTTTGTGTTGGAAGGGCAATTAGCTTCTTACACGGCAGGAACAGAAGTGATCTTCTATTCGAATTTTATACCCTGTCTTCCTTTCTTGGCCAGCACCACCAGTATTTAAAGATTTGGAATTCAGACCCAATTCTCAACTTTAGGGCAAAATTCCCACTAATTTATTTATGCATCATCAGTCTGTGGTATGGTTTCAAAAGGCGCCTTTCTTTTTGGCAATGGCTTTAATGTAATTCTCTAAGCAATCTGCACATACAAAATTAATTTGTAAAATAAATCTTGATAATTTCAAAGCAAAGAAAAAGCTTTATTTTTCCCTCTGAGTCACTTTTTTGGGGATGGCACAGTATGAGCAATTATTTCAGTGTCATCATCATCATTTCACTTCAAATGAAATGGCACCTCATGAACAAAGGATAGTCATGGATACAATCAGTTATTCTTCCCACTCCATTATGTGCATAAAGGCTTATAGTAAACAGTCTTTGTTTTTCTGGTTATTGCTATGCCACATTTTTTTTTTTAGCCTGTTCAGTTCTTGGATTTTCTGTTTTGCTAAGCAGCCTGTGATCTAAAAACCACCAATGAAGAAAGAATACTTTGTCAGGAAAGTCAAATTGTCAGGCTCCCGCAGCCTGTCCTTGCAAAGTACCAAGGCAGTCTAACCTGCTGGCGTGACCCAGGAGGGGCTCTGGCGGGGGTTGTGACCATGCAGGTAAGGTTGGGGAGCAATGTTAAGGGAGTGACTTCAGAGCGCATCCTGGCTGGCTGGATGTGGGACTCCTGTAACCCCCACCTCATTGGACAGTATGTTTTGAACTAAAATTGCTGATTTCTAAAATAAGTTTTATTTAATTCACTGCAAGACTGAGATTATAGCAGGAATCGTTGTATAGCTGATCAAATTTTGGCAAGCATTGGTATGGCACAGAATGAAGTGTGCTTTAAAACTGGTGAAGATAGCTATGAATGATGTGATTTTACACTGTTGAAGGAAAAATAAAATAATTCAGTTGAAATATGGAAGACTAATGGATGCACGTCCCCTGTATCATATGATTTTAAATAATAGAGACCCTTCATTGCTTCCAGGGCCGAGTCATGAAACACATATTTGTCATTTTTGTCTAAGTGCCAAAGCATGCATGCTTTCTCTCTAGAAGTCTAACCAATTGGTTTAAGAATAATCTTTATCAAAATATATATATATTCTGGCCAATCTCCATTTGGATGCATGATGATCCAGCCAAAACCATCCTAGGTTGCCCAGAATTGGGTTCCAGGTCAGCTTGTCCACGGGTCTGTGTCTTTACCCCGGTCCTAACCTCAGTAAATCTCAGTGGGATAGCATGAGAGAACAGTTAGAAAGAAGGTTGGAAAATATCGATATACACTGTGATCCAGATACATGTGTCCTCTTTGCTCACACTGACTTCCTGTCTCTATTCTGAGGTCTCTGCCTACTTTTTCTCCTTTGATTCTCACAAAAGCCCCATAGATACTGTGATTACCCCATTTTACAGAGGAGAAAACTAAGACATGGAGAGATCAAATAATGTCACATGGGGGTAGAGCCTGGATTCAAACCCATGCATTCCGTCTTCAAAGGCAACACTCTTAATTTCTACTAGCCCATAGGAACCATTTGAATTTGTATGAAATTCTATATTTTTTCTCTCTCTCACTCCTTCCCTCCCTTCCTTTATCCCTTCTTCTCTCCGTGTGTGTGTGTGTGTGTGTGTGTGTGTGTGTGTGTCAGAATCTTGAGAAAGTGTCCCTTTATATTCACTTGTTTTTAAGATTTTATGTTTTAAGTTAATTAGAACTTTTAGGCTTTCAGAATTAAATAAATCTAAAAGTGATTGTAGCTAATAACATTACCAGGTAGAATGAATACCAGTCTATCAAGACAAGTTCAAGTTTTGAGTTTTGAGTGGGTCAGAGAAGACAGTGGGGTATGTAGTAAATAAGAATATACAAAAGCCCAGCGAGGTGTGGCTCAGTGAGTCATGGAGGAGACAGCCAATCGATGATTCTCTCTTATCATTGATGCTGCTTCTATCTCTCTCTCCCGGCCTCTCTGAAATATATATATATATATATATATATATATATATATATATATACACACACACACACACACACACGTATACGAATATATATTAAAAAGTTCTTTTTCTAATTAACTAAATCATATTATTTTCCTTTTTCTCTCTTAAGGGTTGGGAGAGACATGGTGGGTTCTGTTACAAAATTGACACAGTACTTCGAAACTTTGACCATGCTGCCAGTGGTTATTACTGTCCTCCTGCCCTTGTGACCATTACAAACAGGTAAAGTAGAAGCTTTCTGTCAGAAGCAGGACTGTGCTTTGATGTGAGGGCCCTTGGAATGATAAAATCTAGCCATAATAAGTAACTGATCAAAATCTAAGTGTACTATACAATAGAGTATTAAACTACTTAAATTATTGGTTGAGATGAATTTAAGTCATAGGATGTTACTCCTCCATTGATTTTTGAGTAATTCAAGGTGACTTTTACTTTCCATAAAGATTTATCAATTACCTGGCTTTGCTAATATATTCAGTTGCATTTAGAGTTTATCTTCTGTTTGTAATAGAAAAGAAATATTCTAGTTAACATTAATTTTTTAAAAATTTAATGTGTGTGAGTCACGTGTGCTTTTTCTTAGAACGAAAGTAAGTATAACTAAACTGTAGAGGTTTCAAATATTCAAACACTTGCCCATTGAGACTTAGGTTTGTTTGTTTAGAGTTAGACACCTCAGTGCACAGGTTTCTTCTCGATGCTAACAGACAACCCGTGCCCTTTTGACACTCTGTACAATTCACAGTGTGTTATGATGTGTCACAGAGGATAGATGCACCAAAGGCAGAAGTAGCCTCAATGTCACTATTATATCAGAAGGACAATGAGGGCTGTGAAAGTTACTGCTCCCTGCTGAAGACAGAAGTAGTTCCATGAAAAAACTATAGCACTTGCAAGCAAGTCACTTCTTTTTTTTTTTATCTAGGCATTGCCTCTAAAATACCCATGGATGCTGGCTGGGTGACTTAGTTAGTTAGAGCATTCTGGTACACCAGAAAGGTTGTGAGTTCAATTCCTGGTCAGGACACATACCTAGGTTGCGGGTTCAATCCTTGGTTGGGGTTGTGAACAAGAGGCAACTGTTTCTCTCTCCCTCTCCTGCCTCTCTCTTCCTCTCACCCTCCTTTCCACTCTCTCTAAAATAAAAATATATTCTTGAGTGAGGATTAAAACAACTTTTAAATACCCATGAATGCCAAAAAATAGGACAATGGTTTCATTGGCAAAATAAATTGCCTGGTGAAACATTTTATGCTCAGGCAACCCTTCCTATGGAGGGGTCTTTGATGAGTTAGTGTTGTTTTTAGTTCTACCTCTCTCCTCCCAGGCCAGGAAAAAGCCTTTATTCTCCATTTGTTGATCCTCTCAAAGGTTTCAAGAGTACCTTGGGCTGGAAGTCAACATAGGACTTTATTTAGAGGCCTGGCCAAAAAAACTGTGCTCTTTTGTTCATTATTTTTTAAATTAATAATGTTTTCACTGAAGAAAATAAGTCTAATTGTCTGACCTTTTTAAAATGTCTTATTCTTTCCCTCTCTCTCTCTCTCTCTCTCTCTCTCTCTCTCTGTGTGTGTGTGTGTGTGTGTGTGTGTGTAATGTTTATTGAGTGCCTGTCATGTACTTGGTACTGTGTTAACTATTTTTCATATGTTATCTGACTTTGTAAAAATTCAATAGTCAAGAGTTTATTAGAAAATTATTTATTGAATACCGATTTTGTGAGAGGCACCGTATTGGCAGGTTGTAGCAAATAAAGAAAAACTGTGGTGTAATCACCTTTATTTGCTGCTTGCAGGCCAGCAGCTGAGGAAATAGAAAATAGATATGTAAAGCAAATAAAAAATTTAGGATAACTCAATAAATGGATAAACTCGGGGTGACATTATAGATAACCCGCAGTGCCAAAGTGAGCCAGGGTAAGGCAGATCTGTTAGAGTTCGAGTGCTCCATTTTCTAAACACCTGTGGGGACTTTCATACAAATGATAGGAAGTGTTCACAAAAATACTGCGGCTTTATTTCCCCCAGAGCTGAATATATGAGTATGCTGTGAATATTTTTAAAATTTTCTCTGATTAACTATATCCCGCAGCCAATGCTAATGTGGGGTCCAACTCTAAAGCAGGACTATGGCACAGGCAAGCTTGTTTTCATCCCAGCCTTGACCTCCGAGGTCCGCCCAGGTGACCTTGTGCTGGTATGCTCCTCAGTCACCAGCCAACCTCCCCACCTCACCACAGGTTCAACCCAGTGAGGCATCTGTCCCAGGCAGGTAGCATACATGAGCACTGCTCGGTAAACGTGCCTGCATCCAAAGCTCCAACCTGGGACATGCAGGGTGAGGGAAGGAAGGGCCTCATACTCCTGAACTTCATTCATTCAGACCCCAACAGGGTAAGATATAAAAACCTACACTGCACCGCTCTTTTGAGGGACAATACACGTTCAGATCTTTTTCAACAGCAGCATTTGTCTGAGAAGGATTGGCAATGCAACGTCCCTCCAGATCCAGGAGTGTCCACTAGCAGCCTGGGTAATCATCTTCTTCTATTTCTGATTTCCCTCTGAGTTAGGGCGCTCCTGTCACTCACCAGTACCCAAGCTTGTAGTTGCTAATTGATTTTCCACTTTTCTGCACAACTGAGCGACAGGTTTGATAGGCACAATTAGAGCCACCTGCTACAAATTATTTCTTTCTTTTGTTATCCGGTAACTGCTCCCGATCTAGAACTTTTAACACTTTGTGGGGTACGAAGGAAAGAAAAAACAGATCCTTATTGCTGAATTAACAGAATTTTATTTGCTTGTTAACTGTTACCGAATTTTTTAAAGCCTGACCACTTTGCATCTCGACAGAGCATGAATGCAGAGCTTGCGTTCCAAAGTGACCATGGATAATTGCCTAAATGCATGTGTATCTAAGTCTTGAATCAATCAGTCATGGAATATTTGGTACCAAATAATCCAAACGCCATTCAGTTTTGTGAATTTTGCCAAAAGTGAGGAATCCTGCATAGACATCTCATTTTCTCCTAAGTTTAAATGTGCATTATTTTCTAGCGTATTTACAGCTCCGTTATTTTTCTGCAACCACCATATCTCCCAAACATATTTACACTTAACTTTTTATTGTAGTAAAATATACATAATGTAAGAGTTGTAATTTTAACAATTTTCAAGTATACAGTTTGGTGGCATTAACTACAGTCATATTATTGTGCACCATCAGCACCATCCATCCCCAGAACATTTTTATCTTCCCAAACTGAAATTCTGTACCCATTAAACATAACTCCATTCTCAGTGGCCCCTAGCCTCTGGCTACCACCGTCCCATTTCTGATTCTATGAGGCTGACCACTCTAGGTATGTGGAATCACCCAGTAGTTGTCCTTTTGTGCCTGGCTTATGGCCCTTAGCCTAAAATCCTGAAAGTTAACTTTTCTTGGAGCATGTGTTTGAATTTCCCTTCTTTATAAGACTGAATAATATTCTATAGTAAGTATACACCACATTTTGCTTCTCCACTCATCCATCAATAGATATAGATGCTTTTACCTTTTGCCTATTGTGAATAATGCTGCTGTGAATATGAATGTACAAATATCTTTTGAATCCCCGCTTTCAATTATTTTGGGTAATATACCCAGAAACTGGGTATATTTTGATTCATAGGATAAATTGATTTTTAATTTCTTAAGGAACAGTTATATTCATTTTTAGCTGCATCATTTCGCCATTTTAATTCCCACCCGCAGTGCACAAGGGTTCCAATTCCTTTACATCCTGGCATCCTGGCCACTGGCCACACTTGTTCTTTTCTTTTCTTTTCTTTTTTAATTTAAATTCTTTATTATTGAAAGTATTACATATGTCTCCTTTTTCCCCCATTGACCTCTCACTGGCTGCTCCCGCCCCCAGCACAAGGCCTTGCCCCCTACTATCTGTGTCCATTGGTTATACTTATATGCATGCATACAAGTCCTTTGGTTGATCTCTTATCCTCTCCCTCCCACTCCCCTACCTTCCCTCTGAGGTTTGACGGTCTGTTTGATGCTTCTCTGTCTCCATTTTTGTTCATAGACATCTTAATTGGTATGAAGTGGTGTCTCATTGTGATTTTGATTTGCATTTTTGTAATAATTAATGATATTGAACATCTTACATGTGCTTATATTCATCTATATATCTTCTTTAAAAAAATGTCTATTCAAGTCCTTTGCCCATTTTTAAAATATATATTTTATTGATTTTTCAGAGAGGAAGGGAGAGAGATAGAGAGCTACAAACATTAATGAGAGAAATACATCGACCAGCTACCTCCTGCATAACCCCCACTGGGGATGTGCTTGCAACCAATGTACATGCCCTTGACCGGATTCGAATCTGGGACCTTTCGGTCCGCAGGCCGACACTCTATCCACTGAGCCAAACCGGTTTCGGCTGCCCATTTTTTAAAATTGTTCTCTGTTACTAGTTGTAGGATTTCTTTAAATATCCTACATAGTGATTCCTGATCAGATACATAATTTGCAAATATTTTTTTTCTATTCCATGGGTTGCCTTTTCACTCTGTTGATAGTGCCCTTTGATGTGCAAAAGTTTTTAATTTTTATTAAGTCCAATTTATCTAGTTCTTATTTGTTATCTCTGCATTTGGTGTCATAGGCAAAAAGTCATTGCCAAATGCAGTGTCATGACATTTTCTCTTAAGAGTTTTTTAGTTTTAGCTCTTACATTTAGGTCTTTGATCCACTTTGTATTAATTTCTGTAAATGGTGTAAGATAGGAGTCCAACTTTATTCTTTTGCAAGTGAAAATCTAGTTTCCCCTGAATCCTTGTTGAAAATACTGACCTTTCCCTTACGGTCTTGCCACCTTTGTCAAATATCATTTGACCATATACGTGTGAGTTTATTTCTGGGTTCTGTATTCTGTTTCATTGGTCTCTGTTTCTTTCTTTATGCCAGTATCACACCATTTTTATTACTGTACTTTTTATTAATTTTTAAAATCAGGAAGTGTTAGAACTCCAACTTTGTTCTTCTTTTTATCTTTGTTTTTGCTATTTAGAGTCTCTTGAAATTTTATATGAACTTTAAAATGGAGTTTTCTACTCCATTTGGGATCTTGATAGAGATTACATTCAATCTGTAGATTGCTTTGGGTGGTATGACTATTTTAAGAATAAGCCTTCCAATTAATGGGATGACTTCCTATCTAATTGTGTCTTCTTTAATTTCCTTCAGCAATATTGTTGTAATTTTCAATGACAACTCTTTCCTCACCTTGGTTAAGATTATTCCCAAGTATTTCATTCTTTTTGATACTATTATAAATGGATTTGTTTGTGGTTTTCTTCTCAGCTTGTTTACTGTTAGTATATAAAAATGCAACTGATTTCTGTGTGTTGACAACTTTACAGAATTTGTTTATTAGTTGTAGGTTTTGTTTTGTACAATGCAGTTAACTTTCTTTTTAAAACGTATTTTAATTACCCCTTTTTAAATTATACAATAAAAACATTCTCATTGATACAAATTCAAGCAAACCAGAAGAATGTAGACTAAAAAGTGAAAATGTCCCGTCACCTCTGCTATCCTCCTCTCCCAACCAATCCTACTCTGCTCCCAGAGGTAACTGCCATTAATAGTGTGGTGTTTGCTCTTCTGGGGTTTGTTCCTGTGTATTTTCTAAGTCTGTATTTCTCTTCTAGCTTTCTGCAAGAAACAATATTCAAAAATTTAACATTGCCAGTTCTTGAGGAATGCCACCAGAAACTGCTGGCAATAATGATCATGATGTGTGTCTTCCATTTCAAATCTATCGATATTCTGCTTCTACTCTTTATTTATATTAGTTCAGCATTAGAGTCACTTATTTTTAAATGCCATTTAAAATGTTAATTGTTGTGTTATTGGGAGAAACCCAATTGTAATTACTCAGTTCAAAACTGAGTCCTTTCTAACCCAATCCCATTGTGAGGTGTTTGGTTTTTGTTTTTTTTTTAATTGAAATAGCTCTCTAGTGAAGCTGCTTCCAATGTATTACTTTTTCAATCTCTTTTTTCAGGTAATACAAACGCAATCATTACAGTATTTCTATCTGCTAAGTGCTGTGTTGTTCACAGACAAGAAACATTTTTTTTTTTCATCTACACATCACTGGCTAACCTGATGAAAAAAATGTAATGTTCAATTAGTGATTTGAGTTAAAAAAAAAAAAAATACCTCCCTTTGAAGTATATATTTTTGAAATGCAAAATGTTTATTTTGAAATAAAAATACTGGTCAGTGTCTGCCAAAACTGTGTATTGCTATCTTCAAATTCATTTTTAAATTAAAATTTAATGTTTAGCAACATGAGCAACAATTTCCTTAAAGTGATGGAAGTTTAAGATATATTTTTCTTGTTTACACTAAAAACACACATTTGATTTCTTAACGTTTTAAAGGATCTGATTAGAAAATTAATTTCTTTCTGATTCTAAGAATTACCCTATTTAATAAAGAGGGAATATGGCCCTAACCGGTTTGGCTCAGTGGATAGATCGTCAGTCAGCCTGTGAACTGAAGGATCCCAGGTTTGATTCCAGTCAAGCACATGTACCTTGGTTACAGGCATATCACCAGTAGGAGGTGTGCAAGAGGCAGCTGATCAATGTTTCTCTCTAACTGATGTTTCTAACTCTCTATCCCTCTCCCTTTCTTTCTGTAAAAAATGTGAGGCAGCAGATGCCTGGAGGCAGGCTCAGCCACTCTGTGTGCCTGCCTCTGGAGTTCCACAGACCCCTCAGCCTCCCAAGCCACCTAGGGCCTGCCTGAAGCACAGGCAAGCCTCATATGGCAGTTGCCCAGCCACCCAGGGCCACCTGAGGCTCAAGTAACCAGGGTTGGCCAAGGCTTGCGCTGCCAGCAGTGGCAGCAGCGGCAGCAGCAGAGGTGTGATAGGTGTTGCCTTCCCCTGATTGCCGGATCGCCTCCCACCCCTGAGGGCTCCTGGTCTGTGAAAGGGGGCAGGCTGAACTGAGGGGAACCCCCCCCCCCCAGTGCATGAATTTTCATGCACCAGGCCTCTAGTTTTCCTATAAAATTTGATTTTACAAATAGGTACACACAAGTTAAATATTTTATCATTTGTGTTGTTTTTATAAGAATAACAAAAAAAGTATTCACTGAATTCCTTAGAGATAATATTTTATCCTGGCTCAATAATAATATAAAACCATGTACATATGGTTATTTTTTGTTCCTTAAATCATGACATTTGCATTAAACAACTTCAGTGAAAACAAACAAAAAGGCCAGATATCATAAAGCTCTGGAATATTTGCAAATGAGAAATTATAAAACACAATGCTAAGAAAGACTTTAAAGGTCATCTGCTCTATTACTGTAAAGGTAGAGGTTTTGCAACACTTTTAGTATTTGAAGCCAAGTAGAGTGGTAAAGATTATAAAATGTACTCTTGTCTCTTTATCAGTTGCAAAACAGACACTCAAGAGGTTTCATGCTGTTATCCAGAATTAATTTTTTAGTATATATGGCTTAAAAGAAAGATATATTTGCTGAATTTCTTTATGAACAATGCTATCTTCTAAACTGGACTAAGAAAACTATAATAGAACCCTGTTTTGATTTGAAGGTGTTAGGATTTAATGTATGAGTATTATATGCAACTACTTTTTAAAAAAAATATGCTTGCCAATTAAAAAGCGGAAGGTTTCTATTGTTTTAAGCAATGATAAAATGGAGATAAAATAGCAAACCAGAGTGGACTAAATAAATCTAAAACCAGCAAGGGACAAAAGCAAAATGTTGTCATGAATAATGATACTAGAGTCCAAGTTCACAGGCAATGTTATTTCTCTCATTACCTGATAGATGTCATGGTAGAAGCTAATGCCCATTGGGTTCTTAGAATCGGCACAGTGAATGGTGTCCTGCAATGCCCATTGGGTTCTTAGAATCGGCACAGTGAATGGTGACCTGGCCACAGCCTCCATGGTGCAGTGCCTTGCTGGCCTCCTAGCACAGCAGTTTCAGGCACAGGGCATGTTAATGATGTAATTCAAAATTTACCTCCTTCCTTTTGAGACACCTTTCCATAAGGTTCTGCCACTGCGATATGGTTACAAAAGAACTTTTCTAATTTCAAAAGTGTGCTGGTCAGATTATTCATAGAGGGACCTGCAGGAGGTACTTACCAAAGTGAGGTGAAAACCCATGTGCTCTACCAAGATGAGGATTCTGGACAACTAAGACCTCTAACTGCTGCCAGTGATGTTCGTCAGGCAGTTTAAAATGTTACTTCTTTGTGTCATTCCGCTGGCTTCCTATTTCTTTTGAGACTTCTCTATTCTTAAATGGCCCCATTGCTTTTGCTACCCTGTGCAAGTTAAGGATGCATAGTCAAAACACACACACACACACACACACACACACACACACACAATTGGATGAAAAAGTCTAATTTGCTTTCTTGTTAGGTTTCCTGGGTAATTTCATCAGGCCTTTCCTTTCCCACTGACTCAGCAAGTCTGGCCAAAAAAAAATCAGCCCTGCTTGAAATGTTTCTTCAGAACGTTATATGTACTGAAAATAAAATGTTCAAGATAGTTTCCAACTTGGCTTAAAATTTCAATGCTAGTTAAATTTTAGCACATTTTTCTTGCAGGCAGTCATGTGAAAGCATGTAGACAGGTTTTCTAGATTTTGCTTCTGGTGCATTTGGGTTGGGAAGGAAACCTTCCCCCCCAATCAGTGAACACTAACTCATTCAGCTGTTTGGAGGAAGTGTTACTGGCTGCACTTCCTTGGGTTCATCTCTAGGGTTTTAAATTTATCTTCAGTGAATTTGCATATCTCAACACATTTGAATAAGTCAAGGACTCCATGTACCTGTGAAAAACTGATTTGGGAGACATAAAATTGCTACTCCAATCTCTGTCTCGCTCTCACCAGGCAAGTGTGCAGAGTGGGTGCCTGTGAACTCTGCCGGCAGATGCTCATCAAGAAAAGTATAATATCCTTCCTCCTCCCCTCCGGCCACCCCTCATCTCATGCACATTATAGGTTGGGGTGTGCTGCATGGGGTGTGATTGCAAAGTAAGGCACATACTGTGCCCCCAAAAACTGTATTATAGCTGGCTTCATGGGCTTTATCACCTATACTTCGAAACCAGAACTAAACCCTAGTCCTTGAAAGAATTAAGCCCTGTCTGTAAGAGTCAAATTCTCCTCATGCCTGTGTTTCTGGGAATTACAATGACATTTTGCCTTTATGAATGATGTCCAGGGTCTTTGGGTGTGTTTCTGCTTCGTGTTCTAAAGAGTTCATGAAAAATGTTTATTCTGGTGCCATTCTGTGCTCCTTATTATGTTTTAATGGCATTTTTAATTGCCCAGAAACTTACTATAACCATTTCCTTTCCCCCTGCTTAAGGTTTGAACAGGCTTTTATTACCAGTCTGATCAGTAGTGTGGTAAAAACAAAGGACAGTTATTTTTGGATAGCTCTCCAAGACCAGAATGACACAGGAGAATACACCTGGAAGACAGCAGGGCAGATGTCTGAGCCGGTGCGGTACACACACTGGAATGCCCATCAGCCTCGTGAGTAGAGGGGACTGCAACACCACCGTTCCCTCCTGTTTCCTTTGCTCCAAATCACTGCTATCCTTTGATCCACCTCCTCTGATTCTTCCTTAATGTTTTCTTAATGCATAAATCAACTAAAACAATTACCACAGGTTCTCAGGGGGGTGACATATGGCTGGTCATTTTTAAAAGTCTAAACCGTATGAGTCATTTGACAAGTTCAAGGTGTAATTCATTGCTCAAGGCCATATGTGCCTTCATTAGCAGAAGGCCCATTTCTCCCTCTTAAGTTCTATTCGATAATCCCAGGGGCTCACTAAGTTGAGAATAGTTGCTGATGCTTCACAGTGAATGGGCGCAGTAAATGCCCATGTGTGGGCACCTTCCATCAGTTCACAATCACTGCCCTATGACTTGCTGAAGAATGCTGGCCCATCACTTAGGTAACGTTCTTGTTAGTCTGTCTCTGCCGTGGACTCTGTGGTATCTCAGCAGGATGCCAGAGTCACAGCTCTCTCCATTCACTCAGGTGTGCTCAGCTCTGGATCCCAAAGCACGAAACTGTGTCAGGTTAGCCAGTTCCAGAGAAGTTAATGGCTTTAGCCACAACCTACACTTGAACTAGCCCCTGTGAAACAAGCCTAAAGCTGTTGTAGTAAGCTTAAGCTACCAACCTAGGCTTAACGCCCTTTTCTCTTAGTGTGAATTCCTATTTGAGTGACTTGGCCCCTTTCTTGCTTATGGATCTGAATTAGGGCTATTCCAATAGACAATGAGCAGTAGGTTACCTCTAAATTTGTATCTGGAGGAAATAGGTTAATGACTTCACGTTATTCCCTGAGGAAAGATAAACATTGTTATAACATAATAACTATTATATCAAATATTAGTCAAAGGACTAAATATATAAAGATGGAAATTATCAGAATGAATAATTAAAAAAAAACAAGACACAACTATATGTTGTCTATAAGAAACCCATTTTAAATTTAAAGGTACATATATTAAAAGGGTGACGAAATGCTAACATTAATCAAAAGAGGCCGGAATAGCTGTATTAATTTCAGACAGAACAGATTTCAGAACAAGGAAAGTTTTCAGTGATAAAAGAGACATTACAGAATGATAAGAGTGGGTATTCAAAGACAAAACAATCTTTAATGTGTAGCCACATAACAAATGAGTGACAAAACACAGGAGGGAAAACGGATAGAACTGCAAGGAGAAATAGATAAATCTATTATTATAGTCAGAGACTTTAACACTCTACAAGAAATGGACAGATTCAGCAGGCAGAAAATCAGTAAGGACCAAATTGAGCTCAACAGCACCATCAATCAACTAGATATAATAGACATCTATAGATAATAACATACAGCAACAGCAGATTACACATTCTCCTCAAACTCACATGGAACATTCACTAAGACATACCACATGTGGGCCATAAAACACACCTTTCCAACTTTAAAAAAATAGAAGTCATACATTTTTGCTCTCAGACCACAGTGGAATTAAAGTAGACATCAATAGCAGGAAGATAGCTGGAAAGTCTCCAAATACTTGGCGAAACATTGTACACTTCGAAATAACACATGGGTAAAAAAAATTTTTTTCAAGAGAAATTTTAAAATATTTTAAACTGTGTGTGTGAAAATGAAAATACAATTATTAAAATTTGTGAGGTGCAGATAAAACAGTGTGTAGAGGGAAAGTTTTAGCATTGAATGCATGTATTAGAATAGAAAGATCAAAGCAATAATCTAAACTTTAGGAAACTAGAAAAAAGAAGAGCAAATTAAATGCAAAGTAAGCAGAAAAAAAGAATTACAGCTTAAATCAATGGCATTGAAACCAAAAATCAATAAAGCCAAAAGCTGATTCTTTGAAAATATTAATAAAATTGAGAAGCCCCTAATTAGGCGCACTAAATAAGAAGAGGGAAGATATTATAAAAGAGGAGACATACTACAGATTCCATTAACATTAAAAAGATAATAAGAAATATTACATACAACTTAGACCTTAAACCCTTTACAAAAATTAACTCAAAATGGATTATAGACCTAAATACAACACCCAAAGCTATAACTTCTAAAGGAAAGAAAATTTTAAAAAATCTAGATGACCTTGGCTATGGAAAGGACTTTTTAGATACAACAACGAAGTCACAATGCACGAAATACATAATTAATGAGCTGGACTTCGTTAAAACTAAAATTTCCACTTGAGAAAAATAATATCAAGAAAATGAGAAGACAAGCCACAAACTGGGAGAAAGTATTTCCCAAAACCACATTTGATAAAAAGACTGTTACCCAAAATATAGAAGGAACTCTTAAAACTCAACAAGAAAATAAAGAACCCACTTTACAAATGGACAAAAGGCCTAAGTTAAGGAAGATACATAGATAGCAAATAAGCATATGAGAATGTTTACCATCATATGTCATTAGGAAATCAATGCAAAAATTTTTTATTCACAAATCAAAACAACAATACATCACTGCATACCTACTAGAATGACCAAAATCCAAAACAATGACCACACAAAAGGTTGATGAGGATGTGGAGCAACAGGTCTATCTCACACATTGCTGGTGGGAATGCAAAATGGTTTAGCCACATTTCTTTCTTTTTTTTCTTTTTTTTTTTGCCTATGTTTTATTTTTTTAATTTATCTTTTTTGTTTAAAGTATTACAGATGTCCCCTTTTTCCCCAGTAACCCCCTCCACCCCTCCACCCATCCCCAGGCCTTCACCAAATTATTGTCTATGCCTGTGGGTTATGCCTATATACATATAAGTTCTTTAGTTAATCTCTTTCCCACCCCAACCCCTACCAATGATTTATCATTAGTCTGTTCCATGGTACAGCGACTTTTTTACAATAAATTAAATCTTTATTGTTCAGATTACTACAGTCGTTCCTCTTTTTTCCCCCCATAGCTCCCTTCCACCCAGTTCCCACCCACCCCATGCCCTTATCCCCTTACACTGTCCTCATCCATAGGTGTAAGATTTTTGTTCAATCTCTTCCTGCACCCCTTCCCCCCAAGAATTGTCAGTCCACTCTCCTTCTATGCCCCTCATCCTATTATAGTCACCACTTTATTCTATTCATCAGATTTTTTATTCACTTGATTTTAGATTCACTTGTTGATAGATAGGTATTTGTTGTCACTTCGTTGTTCATAATTTTTATTTTTATCTTTTTCTTCCTCTTCTTAGAGAATAGCATTTCATATAATACTGATTTGGTGGTGAACTCCTTTAGCTTTTTCTTATCTGTGAATTCTGAATGATAGCTTTGCTGGGTAGAGTAATCTTGGTTGTAGGTTCTTGCTATTCATCAATTTGAATATTTCTTGCCACTCCCTTCTGGCCTGAATAGTATCTGTTGAGAAATCAGCTGACAATCGTATGGGTGCTCCCTTGTAGGTAACTAACTGTTTTTCTTTTGTTGCTTTTAATATTCTCACTTTGTCTTTTGCCATTGGCATTTTAATTATGATATGTCTTGGTGTGGTCCTCTTTAGATTCTTCTTTTTTGGGGTTCTCTGTGCTTCCTGGACTTGTAAGTATATTTCTTTCATTAGGTAGGGAAAGTTTTCTTCAAATAGGTTTTCAGTATCTTGCTCTTTTCTTCTGGCAATCCCATAATTCAGATATTGGTATGCTTGAAGTTGTCCCAGAGGCTCCTTACACTCTTCATATTTTTGGATTTTTTTTTTCTCTCTTTCCTTTTCCAATTGGGTATTTTTTGCTTCTTTGTATTTCAAATATTTGACTTGATTCTTGGGATCCTCTAGTCTGCCATTGGATCTCTGTATATTATTCTTTATTTCAGTTAGTGTATGCTTAATTTCTGATTGGTCCTTTTTCATATCCTTGAGGGTCTTACTAAACTTCTAGACGATTCTTGAGTAACCTTATAACTGTGGTTTTGAACTCTATATCCAGTATTTTGCTTTCATCCATTTCTTTCATTTGCTATTTGTTTCTTTGTCTCCACATTTTGGTTGCTTCCCTGTGTTTGTTTCTATGTACTGGGTAGCTGCTAAGTCTCCTTGAGTTGATAGAGTGGCCTTGTGTGGTTGGTGTCCTATAGGGCCCAGTGTCTCAGCCTCCCAGTCACCTGAGGTGGACACTCTTAGTGCACCCCTTTGTGGGTATGTGCACAGACTTGTTGTAGTTAAGCCTTGATTACTGTTAGTGTCACTGGGAGGATTTGATCTCCAGGCCAATTGGCTGTGTCTACACTGGAAGATCTGTTGTGCAGGAGACATCCTTATGGGGCAGTACTTGCTTCAGTAGGGCTTTGGTGCTCACTGAGTCTGCCTCTTGGGTGTGTCTCTTCTGGATGTGAAGAATTGTAATCTGGTATGGTCTGACACTGACCACTGGGTACACTGACTCTTGGATCTCCAAAAAGGTGCAAGGTCAGCCACTGTCTGGGGCTACCCAGCAGGAGCTACAGAGACAGTTGCAGATTCCTCATCTTTGTATGGGGTTTGGAAGTGCCCAGATGAGGCCTCGCTGTGAAGCAAGGCCACTGCTGCTCCCAGGCCTTGCTCCTTCTTTTAGAAGCTCTGGGGCTCTGACCCAGCTGCAGTTTGACAGGTTTTAGGTGAAAGGACAAGCCATTATATGCAAAAGCTGATGCACATAGCTTGAGTGGGGTTGTAAATTGGGTGGGGAGGAGTCTCTGGGAATCACCAAAGTGGAGCAAACAGCAATAGCTGCCAGGCAGCCCTGCACCAGAGAGGTCTGCAGGTCTCCACATCCCACGCCACACCCCCCCCCATACAGAAGCAATGATCACTGAGAGCACCTTTAAGAGAAAGCTGCCCTCACGATCCTGTCCCAATGCTAAACAGTCCAGCTTCTCCTCGTATGTGTCTGGATCCCCCAGAGTCTCTCCTGGAACTGGAGTTCAGAGCAAACAGGAGCTTGTATCTCCCTCCCAATTAAAAGAGAAGCACATCCAGGTGCCAGCACTTTCTGTGCCTCTG